GGGCAGTAGGGATGCTCAAGGAGCTTGGGCTGAAAACAAGCTCCAGGATTGGTCTAAGCAGACACAGATTCTGATGCAGCACCACAGAGAACAGTTGTATCTTCAAGCACCTAAGCCTACCATTTGCATGGCTAGAGAATTGTTTCTTACTGTGACTTTTCAGATGGAACCGTTGTTATTTCAGCGTTATAAAAAGAAATCTCTTCAGCTTTTCCAATTAAAAATAGATCAATAAGCTCAAATAGTTTCTGGAAAGAAATGGACCTGGCTCTGCTCCATTAAACTCAGAGACATTAATTGGGCAGTAGATTACCTAGAACAGAAGCTTGGTAATGTGTGAATTTAGATTAGATACAAGGAAGAAGATTTTACAACAAAAGTGGTAAAACACTGGCACAGGTTGCCCAGAGAGGTGGTATTTGTCCCATCCCTGGAAACATTCAAGGTCAGGTTGGACAGGGCTCTGTCTGAAGAGCCTGGTCTAGTTGAAGAGGTTCCTGCTCATTGCAGAGGGTTGGACTAGATGGCCTTTAAAGGTCCCTTCTAATCCAAACCATTCTGTGACTCTATAGATTTTTAATCAATGGTTCTATCCAACAACTATTTTTTTTTCAGAATTGTATTTTAGTTTTGGTCAAATTGAATTTTGGAAAACTGTTGGCAAAATAAAAAATAATCAAAAAATTATAATTTTTGTTCAAGCCAAAATATTTAGTTCAGCTTTAAAAGACTGGCTTAATTTTTGGTTTGAGGCTGTTTCATATGTTTAAAACTTAGGATTTCTTTCCTTTTAAAATTTAGAGCAATTTTAAAATGGACAGATTAAAAGCTTGTTTTGAAAGTTTTTGAGGGTGTTTCGGCAGTTCCAGAATGAACCACTCCATTTTGAAAATACTAAAATGAAGTGTTTTGACATTTTATTTTTTTTTCTCTGCTTTGTTTCATCTGGGACTATTTGCTAAATTCCATTCAAATTCATGAAGAGTCTCACTCCCTCTGAAATTCATTTGTGTGGTGTATTTATGATTTGTCAGACAGCTGTGGTTCATTAAACTCTG